CTGGTTAAAAAAATTGCTACAGAAAGCCGAACTGTTGGACTGAACTCCCCAAATGAAAAACAAGCAAACGAGCATGATGTCACAACCGTCACTGCACCGCCATCTGTGCAGCTTCTCCATTCCCAGGAGGGGGTTGGGGGAGCCCCAGACCCCTGTGCCAGCTATCCACACCATTAGTTCTGAGTCTGGATGGCAAAACACGCGAAAAACTGTTGACCAGAGGGAGGGAATTTTGCCGGGGAGCCTCCGGGTCTCACCTAGACAGTGGCGTTTCATTATGTACATTCAACGCAGGATTTCTGGGGCTCCCCGGAGCTACTTAACCAAAGATAAAAGAAGAGGGACTTACCCGGGAGGTGGACGCCACTCGCTCCTCAACTCAAAGTCAAGACAACTGGCTTCAATCGCCAACCCAATGCGACAGACGCCCGACTAGGGCCAGGAACACTGACAATGTAGCAAGCGGCCAGGATCCTGTTCGACCTTCAAAAACCCCATGCCTGAATGTCAGCCCAAGACATGTTACCAAAGTCAGCAGCCAATGCAGCAAACTTACGAATGTCATGGGCACAAGAATAGATCGCAGGCAGGGTGGACCGAATAATCCTGAGGATGACCTGGGAGACCCAAACCCTGGAACAGGGAAGAAGGGAAACTGGGTAAACCCAAAGCGCATTCCCGGCCACCGAGGCCGTGGTGCACAGGTAACTGTGAAGAGCTGCAACCGGACACAACACATGATGTACCTAACCAACCAAGCATCAACAACCCAAGGACCCCTCTGGAAAACAGCAGTCTCATTCTTCGCCAGAAGAGAGGGAGACAACTGCAAACGAACAAACCTACCACCAGGACCTAAAGAGCAGAAACCCCCTGTGCTGGAGAAGAGCATAAAGCTCCCAACTTGACCCCCAGAGTCCAAATGCCAACAGGAAAGTTGCCTTCGCAAAACAATCTTGAACCAAAGGGGGCCACAACAAACCGAAGAGAAGATAGAAAAGAGAGCACCCGGTCGAAAGACTAGGACGGCTCAAGCGGCACATGAGCAAGTCAGAGGTGAAACAACGCACAAGACAGCTTGCAGAACGAAGCAGAAGTAACATCTACACCGAACACAAGCTGAAGAGGCTACGACAGCGCCGCACGATATGAGGCAACAGTATTCGGCATAAGATGATGGTCCTGAAACAACCAAGAAAGGAAGGACAAGACAAATCGATCAAAACAGAAGCAAACCTACGAAGGGACAAGAAATAACGAAAGGACTGCCAAGAAACTTCATACCCGCGTCAGAAAGACCAGACACAAACACTTAAGGAGAAGATCGAACTAGCTACATAACGTATTGGCCCGATCTGCTGAAAGAGACGGAGCTGCGGGAAGAGCCTCGGGTTCGGACACCAAGTAAGCAGCGCCTGAAACCAAGGCTGGACCAGCCAGCATGGAACTAAAAGGAGAATCCTCCCCCATTAGGACTAACTGAACCAGAACCCGAAGCAACAGCTGAACCGGAGGGAAAAAGGTACAGGTAACCCCACCTCGACCAATCCTGCCAAAAAGTGTCTACCGCAACGGCTTCGCAGTTGGGAAAGGGTGCTCAAGGTGCTCAGAGGCACCTTGATGCAGCCTGCATCAGAACCATAACATTGTAGCGAGCTCTCACCACTCCAGTGTGCAGGTACGACGAAACCTGTGTCACAACCCAAGTGAAAAGAAAGAGCAGTCTGCAAGCCAGGAAGATGCCAGAACCTCATAACGCACCCAATACGGGGAAGACCCGAACTCAAGAGAGATTGGGTCCATCACAGCAGCAAAATCTGGGGTCTCACAGGAGGTAGGCATCGAGGACCTCCCAAACTTCCGCAGGGGAAATCCTAGAGGTAGAAAACCTCTGGAAAGACGAAGCCGCAAAACCCAAGTAAGCCTGGAAACTAACCCGGGTTGAGCCGAACCCATAGCAGACCCTGCGACGAGGGCAGCCAAGCTGTTGCAGGATCAAAAGGGGCCCAAGCACCTCAGGCCGACTCCCTGTCCCCACCAGCCCTGAAGCCTCCAAATCCAGCTCCGGGGCAGAGCCATCTTCAACGCCCTCCACCTTTGAAGAAAATGCAGAGTCCAAGGAAAAGGCAACAGAGAAGGGGGATGGGCCTGATGGAGAGACCCAGAAGCCTCAGTGGGAGGATCAGGCTCAAATGCCTTCAGACATTTGGGAACCGGCAGCAGGGGAGGAGTATGGCAAACCATGCCAACAAGGGAAGGACTTTAGTGCGTGGACTAAACCACGGCCGAAGCGACCAATGACCCCAAGTCCAAGCCCAATAACCTAAACCTACCAAACAACGCAACAGCCACTTGACCCCTAACAATTTCCAAAGAAGAAAGGGGAACTGGAGAATGAACGGGGAACAAGATCTGCACAACTCCAGGTCGAAGGTGTCAACGACCCAACAAGCAGCATGACGATCGACTCCCTGAGACAAGGGCAATGAACAACCTTCAATTATCTTGTGTTTAACTGGTTTCAGCTCTTGGGACCAACTCCAACAGCCCAATAACTCAATACTTAATTTGGTGTGAGAACCCATTAGCTACACTCTAGATTGCTTAGCAGTTGAGGAGTTAACGACCTAGAAATTTAGGGACCAAAAGCATTGTATATCGGCATTTGCTCTCGCTGGTCTAGTTGATGTTTAGGAGTCGGAAGCAGAGAGGAAGGAGCAGGACAAACCCTGCCCACCTGGGAAGAGGGGGGCGTGGACGGAACCAAAGAAAAAGCGACCAACGCCCCCAAATCCAGCCCTAAAACCCCAGCAGGGCAGCTCCAGGGCCTCCAACCGGGCAACCAACCTGGTCCATTGCACGAAGAAGAAGAACCGAGCATGCAATGCGGCTGCCGGCTGATCCCTGAGATCATCAGATAAGTGATGAGTAAATTGAAACGCAAGTGGGGAAAAAGTCCCGCAAGACTCCGGGTTGTAGGTGTCCCAGACCCAATAAGCAGCATGACGGAGGAAGTACAGATGATCGTCTCCCTGAGGCAGGAGCGACAAACAACCTTCAACTTCGTACAAGGCAAGAGTGGGCGTGGAAGAAATATTCATGGTACGACCGAGCCCACAATGGTTCTCCAGGGCCCATAGAATGAATAAGCCCTACGGGAATCCCTAACACTGGGGGACCAGCAAAGCCGGTAGAACCCTGTCTGTAGCAGGCAAACTGACTGCCAGTAGCATTTGTGAAACCTTGGGGACAACAGAGGACGACCACAAACACAACCTAGGCTAGCCTAATAAGGAGATAAGCAGACCGCCTCTGAGCACAACAGGCACAAGCACCAAAAAATTAAAACAAAAACCCTTCGAAATCACACAACTAGCAAACTAGCAGTCAGGGAGAAACCATAGCTGCAGTGTGCCCCCCCATCCCCCAGGGCAAGACAGAAAGCCCCAAGACCCCCATTGCACACCATGGGCGAAGACAACCACAAGCGAGGAAGTCCTCAACAGGGAGCAAGTGATGAATGCCCCAGGAATAATAATTCTGAAACGCAGGGGTAGTACAGTACTTATGGAGCACCTAGGGAAGGGAAACCTAGGCTCATGCTGCTCCTGTACACTAATAAACCTGGCCACCACACAAAACACAAGCTGAACAAACAGGACAAAAATCCAGAACAGGAACATGAGACCAGAGGTGACATCTGACCACAAGCACATCTGATCAAGAACTGGGGTGGTGGATTGCTGTCTCACATGAGGTACAGTATGCTAATGAGGGGGGCTAGTTGGATGACATTTGCTGTTTTAATTTTTGGGGAGATATTTTGCCCTTTTGTGGACGTAGCTTGTATAGTGTAACCAGACAGTGGTCAGTTTTCATTCACCTACCTTTCTGGGCCCTTCTCCAGTCAATGGCAATTATGACGTGCATTAAATGTAAAGTGTTCATAGGCCATTGCTCCCTGCACCTCTCTGAGAGAGCCAAGTTCTGGCTCATGGTCCCCAGTAGGCTAAGGGCTCTGACTGATGACACCAACTAATATAACACTTTACCAGTTTGGATAGCTTCAGGGAGCCAACAAGGCTCCCCCCAGAAATCATGATCATCATCATCTTTAACAGAAGGCAACTGCTAGTTAGTAACGCTTGCTCGCTCATTGTCCTCGGGTGGCCAGCCCTGGCCACCCGAGGGCAGCAAGCTTCATAATTCTGCCCGTGCAACAATCTCTGAAAACCACTGGAAGTTGGGAAGGGCAAGAACAGGGAGCCCACCAAGGGATACACCAGAAAGAGGCATTTCATTACATTCAACACTGGGAGGGTTCCCTTTGGTGGCTCCCCAAGCTAATTCCACACTGACAACAACAAAACAGGGCCTTACTATGAAAGGAAATGGGAAGACACTAATAACCTAAAAGAGATGAGCTGTTTCTGCTAACGAGCATGTGCACTGTTTGTGTCAGAGTTGCCAATGTTGTCCATGCAGTTGCTTGTTTTGTTGTGCAACTATCTTTCTGGTAGTCTCTCCTTGGGAGTACAGGTATTGTGGTGGTCAACTACCCCCAGACTGATCTTGTCTCTACTAAAAGGCCCAGATTTCAGAACTGTCTACTGATTTTTCTGAATTTGCTCATGAATTTTAGAGTCTGATGTTGTATCCAAGGTTTGGCGGTTCCCAGGGGGACTAGCTCGGGAAGCCACTGAGGGAGCGCTTCCAAAATATATATTTTATTATATAAATAGACCAATTGTATTGCTGAGAAGATAATGTAGGTAGCATTAAAAGTAAAGTAAGTACCATTCTAAAGGGCAGATATATAATTAACTATAGACACATTTCCTTTAGCATTATCATTTCAGATGATAACAACTATAAGGGGTTGACTACCAATGCTACTTTCTTCCAGGCTTCTCTACTTTAAAGGGCTTTTATGACACTGCATACTGTACTGTACAGTATTTATTAAATCTAAAAAAAATACGATGTACAGTAAAACCAACCTGCACCGATCGCAATCCGAGTACTTGTTCTGGTTACGGGAGATACTGTCATCCAGGAGAGCCATGGCAACAATGAGCGTCGAAAGTGTTACGATGATGGTAATGGGTACACATGATGGCCTCAGCCAGTCCCGCAGCCATGACTTTCCGCTATTATGCCCTTGCATATTTTGCATGTGATTGCGTAAGATGCTATTGTACCTGTGATGAATATATGCAGTCTAAACATTGGAAACATTGAAAAAAAAATCAGTGCTGCATTGATGAAGCTTGTCTTGAATCCATAACATATACTGTACTGATAATTTCTTGAATACTGTAATTACAGTATGTATATGTTGAACACTCATCTGTATACAGTAATTCTATTATTCATCTTTCACATGCCATTTATGATCATACAACCATCTTTCATTACAATAAGTCTATACAGTATGTCAAAATGACCTCATATAATATATACAAGAAGTGTGATGATATACTGTCTATGCTCAATAATGTGAATTATATGAAGCACACTGTGCCCCCATTCAAATTAGCTGAATATTTACCTGGAAAGTTCAACAACGAAAAAACCAGCGTTGAATGTAATGAAACGCCATTTTCTAGGTTAGCCCTGGAGGCTCCCTGGAGCTTATCAGGCTAATGAATGTTATATTAAACCGGGACATTAGCTATGGAGTTCAGACCTACCAGGGACCAGTGCCAGAACCTGGCCCCTTCAGAGAGGTTTCAGGGAGCAATGGCCCTGGAAAACCCCCTTGTGGTTGAGGGGGTTTTCCTTATCTGCCATCGACCAGGGTTAGGCACCCAGAAAGGTAGGCATAACAAAACAAACCCCACATGATAAGAAACTAAAATAAAAAAACAAACAGAGAGGTAGAAACTCCCTACAATCCCAAGGAAACAAGCAAATAAGCAAACATCACAATTTACTGCCGCACCGATTGTCCGCGCAGCCCTCCCTGCCCCGAGAGGGGAAGGAGAGCCCCGGACCTCACCGCGCCGGCTGCCTAGCACCAGTTCGGAAGCTAAGCTTCAACCAATGAGATAAAAATGCCAACCGGTGGGAGGGAGAGTTGCCAGGGAGCCTCCAGGGCTCACTCAGAAAATGGCGTTTCATTACGTTCAACGCTGGTTCTCTGTGGGGAGCCCCTACGGCTTCCTGGAGCTTCATACCCAAAGAGAAGGAAAAGAAAGGGCTGACCCTGGAGGCAGCCACCACAAACTCCGCAACGTGAAGTCGAGACAACAGGCAGCAACCTGCAACCCAAAGCAACACAAGAATGCACAGGAGCAGACACGCTCACAAATGAATGGGCGGCCAGGAACATGTGCGACCCCCAAATCCTTGCGCCCGAATTGAGCCCAAGAAGTCATCAAACACGGCAGCGAAAGCTGCAAACGTCCGAACGGCACGGGTGCAAGGATAGACCGCAGGCTGGTAAACTAAAGAAAACTGCGGATGACCTGGGAGACCCGAGCCCTGAAGCAGGGAACGAGGGGAACCGGATCAACCCAAAATTCATCCCCAGCCATGGCACGCAGGTAATGGCGAAGAGCCGCAACCGGACAACACATGTCGCACCCCCGGCCGAACCAACCAAGCATCAATAATCCAAGGACCCCTCCGGAAAGCAGCCATCTCAACCGTCGCCAGAAGGATGGAGCAAGGCTGCAAGTGTACGAACCTACCACCATTACCAAAAAGAGCAGAAACCTCTGCACCGGAGGAGAACCGGAAGCTCCCCGACCCGACCCACAAAGGCCAATGCCAACAAAGTATGGCCTTTGAAAAACAATCTTGAACCGAAGGGGCTACCACAAACTCAGGACAGGAAGGTTAAAGGGCACCCTGATCAAGGACCAGGATGGCTTAGGCAGCGCATGAGCAGGCTGGAGGTGAAACAACACGAGAAGCGTACGGAACGGGGCGGATGTGACGTCCACCCTGAACGCAAGCTGGAGCAGCTCCACCAGCGCTGCACGATATGAGGCGACAATAAGAAGCATCAATTAACAGTTCTGAAAAAAACATGAAAGGACAAGACAACCCAATGCGAAAGAGAAGACAACCTACGAAGAGCAAGAAAATGGCAAATAGAAAAGCCAGGAACGTCATACTGTCGCTGAGACAAAGCTCGCAGGTGGGACACCATCAACTAAGCCACCTGATCACCATAGAGATGGTGATACACCCGCGTCAGCAGAGCAGACGCGAAGAGCCAAGGAGAAGGCCGAACCAGTCACGTACAAGACCGGTCCGACCTGCCGAAAGAGGCGGAGCCACTGGAAACGCCCCAAGTTCGGACACCTATCAAGCAATGTCTGAAAAGAAAGCTGGGCCGGCCATCAAGGGCCCCACAAGGACTACTCTCCTTGGGAAGGACTCCAATCGAGCCAGAACCTGAAGCAACAGCTGGACTGGGAGAAGGGGAACAGGTAACTCCACCTCCACCAGTCCTGCCGAAGGCATCCACCGTGAACGCCTCGCAGGCGGGTAAGAGTGCCACATAGAATGGGAGACGCCGAGACCACACCGACGAGAAGATGTCCATGTCCAGGAGTCAATACATTCGGCAGATCCAACGAAACGAGTTGGCAAAGACTGGCCAAACCGTGAACAGAGGAATGAACCAAGACAGGACATCCGCCAGGACGCAAAACACCCCCAGACATGAAACGCACAGCTAGCCAAACCCCAAGGATCCAGCAGACGTGCCACTCGAAGGTACCAACCCCAAGGTCAAGGACCTAAGAGAATCCCCGTGGTTCCGGCAATGAACCACTGAAAAACAGTTCGAATGGAGCCGGATGGGGGAGCCCCGAGTGACCCGAACCCTCCGAAGCGCAAACCAGACAGCCACGAGCTCCCGAACCGTGCTGCGAGCCTGACGGATGGACGGACCCCACCATCCCCGGCCTGCCTAGGGAGCACTGGCCACAAAGCCCCAGCCGAGAGATGACCCGTCCATGAACACATCGAGCGAAGGCTCGGGGAGGCGCCAAGGCACGAAACCCTGAAACCTTGAAAACCCCAAAGAGGAGGCCAGTGACGCAGCACCAACACAAGATTCCCGGAGGACGAACCCAACAATTGCGAGAGGCGGAAGGGGAGTCCTCAAAGGAACCGAACAAACGCCGAAGCCAAACCCTACCAGACGGGCAGACCAGCATGGCAAAGTTCAGACTCCCACACAACCGTTCGAGCAACCGCCGAGTGACCTGGGACCCCCCTAATAAACAGCAGAAGGCGGAACCACAGCTGCAGCAACGCTTCTGGAGGGAAAGACAAAGAGGCGGTCCAAGAGAACTAAACAAGACCAAGCCAGGTCCGAACCCGGGATGGAACCAGATGGTGTGATCTCCAGATTACCAGGAATCCAAACCCAGCAATCTTGAAAGAACCACTCCCCTGGCGAGCAGACAAGCGGACCGACTGGGAGCCCACACCAGCCAGTCGTCGAGGTAGGCCAGAAACCGAATCCCAAGCAGACGCAGAAAGGTCACCAAGATCCGGAAAAGATGCATAAATACACTAAGTGCCAATGACAAACTAGGGAAGGCAACAAAAGCAGCAAGCCTGAAGCTCCACCACCAACTGTGCCAGTCCCGAAACCCTGGAGAGGAACGTGCCAAGAAGTGACCCGGAGGTCCAGGGACACCATCCAGGCACCCGGCCCCAACAGAAGCCGAACCGAAGACAACAGTCTTTCGAAGAGGGCAAAGAATCCAGGGCACTAATGCATAAGTCCAGAAGAACCTCAAGGCCCATGTCTGCACTAAAACAGGCGGGAACCTCAGAAGGATGGGGCGGAACGACCACATCCAAGCGCACCCACGCCAAGATGACATGACACAGCGCAGGGGAAAAAGCCCACCCCACCAGCCTCGAACCCCCAAAGGGGGCGAAGCTGCCCGACGCCACCTGAGGCTGAAAGACAACCACAAGCGAGAGCCAACAGAGCAAGCTGCTCCCCCAGCACCCCATCAACAGCGAAGAGAACGGAACTCCTTCCGAAAGAAAATGTATAAAGTATATATAAATACACACATACAAGCATGTACATATATATACATATACACACATATATACATACATATACAAAATGTATAAAAACATACATACATACATGTAAATAAAATTGAAAAATTAAAATAAAGAAAAGAAAAGCCTGCCGACAAGTGGGCAGAGAACACCACGCCGGTCAGATGAAGAAGGCACCAAGAGCACAAAAACAGCACGAAAAGGCCCACCTCGACTACAAAAACCTAACGCCCCGGCACAATCACAACACATGCCAAGACCCAAAAAGATCAGCCTGCAAGCCAGGAAGACCCCGGAACCCCAGAAGGCGGAACCGGGTCACAAACAAGGTAACAAAAGTCCCCTGAACCCACAAAGAGGGCCCCAAGAGGAAGAAACCTAAGGAATGAAAGCTCAAAGTCCCAGATATTGTCGCATTAACAGAGACGAAACTTGAAGAAAATATTTTAAATGAGGTCGTATTCCCAAGGGGCTATCCAGTTCGGAGACGTGACAGAAAACTATGAAGGAGGAAGGAGTGGCTGTGCTGGTGAATGAACACCTGAAGGTAAGAGAATTAATGTTTGAAAACCCTTGAGATATTGACATAATGACATTGCAGCTCTGGAATCAAGATGATAAGCTGATAATTTTAAATGCCTACAGCCCACCAGCAAGCAACACTCGGACAAAGGAAGAACTGGATGACAAACGAGAGGGCCTCATAATGGTCATGAGAGAGATTATGGAAAGAGCTGACAAAGATAAATCCCGATTGTTGGTACTGGGGGACTTCAACTCTAAGGCAGTAGAGTGGGAGGCCAACGAGGCAAGAACAGAGGACATTTGGACAGGCAGATTTGTAAACCTCATCTTGGAGACATTCATCAACACGTCAAGCAGGCCTCAAGAATGTGGGAAGGGGATGTTCTGCCAGTACTGGATCTAGTATTCACCAGGAAAGAAGAGGTATTTGACATCCAGTACCTTCCTCCCTTAGGAAAGAGTGATCACGTCCTCTTGGACATTAAATCACCCTTAACATTGACAAAACTTTCTATATTCTGTTTGGCAATAAATCCTCTAATCAAATAAATCTCAAAATAAACAATACCCAAATTTGTAACAAATTAGATGGCAAATTCCTTGGCATTCTCATTGACCACAAGCTGAA